CTTTTGCATCCAAACCAATGAGGCTGCATTTGGGGAGCTGAAGAGCTGCATGCAGATGGGAGATGAGCAAAGTAATGAAACATGTCAAAGCACTTGAAAAAGCAATATATAGGAATGATTGAGACCCATCTTTTGTCTCTGGTACAGAGATTATCTGAAAATGGCTTTGAATAGAAACATAAGATTTCACAGTAAGAGAGGTATAGTGCCTTTCTCATATCATTACCTAGCAACATAATGCTGAGATTATACTTTGAACTCATTGTTATGTTAAAATGCGGAACTGTTATGGTCCCTTTGCAGATTAAATACGTTGCCAGACTTTTTTTTCTTTCCTTTTTTTCCTGGTCAGTACATTGAAAATCCCCTCCACACAATAGACTTCAGGGGAAAAAAACCTGAAATTAGAGCAACATGTAGGAGAAGTGTTGAAATGAAGAATTCATGAATAGCCTGAACAGAATTTTCTGTTTGTGGTGCTCACAGCTGACCACAGAAAACACTTTCAAAGGTTAGAGGAAGTGTTCATTACTGAAGAAGGAATTGCTCATGTTGTTAGTTTGTGCATTCCTGCATTGGGCTTTTAGGTGCTTTTTTAGAGATTCTTCCCTCATGTTACGACAAACACTTTCAGCAAAGCCTGAGCTCCAGGAGAGGAATGTGTACTTGGGGCATATGTAAATATTTACCTAACCTGTAATCTTTCTTATAAGTCCTGCAAGATAAAAAAAAAGAAATACATGTATGTTGCATGATAATTTGATCCAGGTACTTTACAGGCCTTAACTTACTAGATATTCATGAGTATCATTTTGTGAAGTAGGTAAATGGATATTGACTTTATCAAATAGAGGAAGGCAATGGTCTGAAAGACACAAATGGCATAAGAATAAAAATAAAATCTTGCCCCAAATGCTTAGACAGAAAATGGTTTGAAAAGCTGTCATTATACATGATGAATCTCAGGCAGATTAAAATTACTTGTAGTACGCTTTCCACTGAGGTTGACAACAGGAGGATGCTTGGGAAAGTTAGCTCAGCACCAAAACCTTCTGTTAGGTGTACTGAGTTTTACTGGTGGAATTACATTATCACATTTGAAAAGATTCCTCTTGCTTGGTTGCATCAGGATTTTTTTTTTGTGTATCCCAGAACAAAGATACGTACATGGTATAGTTGCTCAGTGGGGAAAATCTGAATAAAGTGAACATAGCTGATTAGCTTACACTTGCAGTTATGGAAATTAAAAATCCTTGTGTTGATGTTTAGCATTTATTTTAGGGTGAACATAAGGTAGCCAAAGTTCAAATGTTCTGGTCTGTAGGATTCAAGTCTGTTCAGCAAGACCACAATAGACTTTTAGTCTGTTTCCTCAGCCATTTTACCTTGACTATGTGGCACGTTTGTTGAAACCTTGCTGTGTTGGTAGAAAGGTCACTGTTGATGACTTTCTCTGGCCATGGAGAGTAAGACATGGTATCACTATCACTGTAAGCCACAAGTCCTGTTGTGTGGCCTCTCCAGCCACTGTTCGCTCTCCATGCTTGTGAGTCACCACACTGTGGGAAATTCATTGAGACCATGTAATTTCTTGGATGTCAAGATTAAGATCCTTTCAAGGAGCTGCTAATACCACAGAAGACTGAATATCTTGATCTTACCTTCACTTTGTAGAGCAATTAAGTAGCATAGGTAGTGTGTACGGTTTTCCTGAGATACTGCTCATCTTTGTAGACAAAATGAACAAAGAGTCTTTTGTATGTGTATATATTTGATGTCTGTATAATATATTCTCCACATTGTGGGAGGACATGCTGCTGAGAAGGTCAGTCATGATTCATTATATAGACATTGAATCCTCTTTTCATCACATTTGCAGCTTTGTGCATCTTTTCAGATACTTCTGTTTGCTGCTTCTCAAGTAAGTAGCTAAATTAGTAGCTGAGCTGTAAAGAGTATTGAAACCCCTCTAAAAACAGTCTTATGGTTATTTTAAAATTCTAGTGATTTTCCACTGGCTCTTCTTTGCTGCTGACTTGTGAAACAGGGAACAAGAAGTTCATGTTCATGTGCAGACTTAGGTAAGAAGCTTAATCCTTCAGTGGTGAATGTTAAATGCTTCCTTTGAGTTTCCCAGCACATTTAAAGTCCTTCCATGAACTTGTTGACTTACACCCACAGCACCTTTTCCAAGTGCAGAAAATCAAGGCAAAAATTCAATACCTGTAAAAACTGTTTAACATGGAAGTTTTCTGTGGAATATTTGATGACCCATGGCACTTCACAGATCTATTATAAAGTCTCTCCAAGTCAACCTCTGAAAGAACAGCATCCTCTAAAAGTATCACAGAAGTCTCCAGTTGCTCACCTGTCCTTACCTACAACCAAGAGTGAGCTGGAAGACAAGGAGAATCGAGATGCATTAGCAATCATCAGAAACCTCTGTTCTCCTAGCTAGGGAACCCTAATTGTTAAGATACTGCATATTGAAACTGATTGCAAAATCCATACTGTGGATTGAAGCTCCTTCAGAGCTTCGTGCCCATCCAGAACAGTAACTGTCAGTGCTCTGAGCTTCTGTCCTGGAAGTCTAAATTAAGAACAAGCCTCTGGGCTGCTTCTAGGCCTGTAGTAACTTCTTAGGCTTTGTCCTTGCTCTGTAACCGCCTGACCTGAGCTGTCCCCAGCATACAAATCCACTGTACCATGCTGTCAAAACAAATTACTAAGTATCAGGCAGCCCCAGTGAGGAGACAGAAGCCAGGATCTTAGCGAAAGTAAAAGGTTGCTCTTCCATGCTTGCTGAGGAATTCAGGCAAGCAAACATTAAGGGAAATAGTCCTCCTTCCCCAAATGCTGCCCTGAGACTTGATCCAGAAAGTGATAAGGTCTTCCATGAGGAGAGGTAGCAAGACGTAAGGAGGCTCTGCTGAAGCAACACCCACGATTCTAAGAAGTGCACCAAACATGCTGCAGCATGTGCAGGCTTTGGGAAAGGAGCTTAGGGGGCAGAACTTTCTGTTTGCATCGTTCATGATGGAGGCTGGGTACAGGGCACTGAGGCTGCTTCTTGAATAATAGAAGAATAGCTCTTGGTTAAATCGGGTCTGATACTCCCTAAGGAGCTAACTAATACTGTGTTCAGTTACTGACATGATTTCTTTTTTGCTCTTCACCTGCATTTCCCTCACCTCCCACATACTCCTTGCACCATCAGTTCCTTACAGCCTGCTCTGCTGCTTTCTTACAGGGGTGTGTGCTAGATCTGAATCCATTAGTGCCTAATGAGCTAGATATTTAAAGCTTACCATTTAGGTTATACCCCTACATTCTTCTAAATGAATATGCTTCAAATATTTACAGATCAGAAGTAAGCTCATTTAAAATAATGAGTTAAGCTGATGCTACTTGCTTGAACTAATACCTCCATATAGTTCATCGCAATTAACCAAAACATGTGGACATGGACATGTCAGTCAAGAGAAAGACAGAATAATAAGGAAACCTCATTTCCATTTGTAAAAGTCCTAATTATCCTGACATTTAAGAGGGTACCAGTTTCCAATAAAAAATACAAATGAGGAAGTGTCTTTAATCAGAGCACAATATGCAAGGCCTTCTCAGAACAGTTCAAACTAACGCTGACTTGAATGTTAAATGCCTGTAAGTACTGGGAAAACATTTTGTGAAGACTCTTGGGATTTTACCAGAGCTGATTATAGAATCATAGACTCATAGAATCATAGAATGAATAGATGTTCCAGAAGGCTGTGATTTGCCCATAACATAGCCAGCACCTTTTGAACTCAGTGCCTGTTCTGCAAGTTGGCCTAAGGTCTTAAAGACCTTACACTTTGACATATTTCTTCAAAACTAATGGGGCAATATGGGAAGAAGCCAGGAATACTGAGGGGGGAGAGGAGAAGTTTATCATGTGGGCATGAAATACAAATCTGTAGGGAGAAAAACTTCATTAGTCTTGCTGCTCGTAAAATATGTTGGTTTTCATTTACAATAAACTTACGCAAGCTGATACCAGAATCTGCCAGAAATCCATGTTTTGTTATTTTATTAACAGTGATTTGCAACTGACTGTATGCTTTGTCATTATTTTGAGGAGACTCCCTTTTTTTGTTTGATTTTAAAGTGTGCTTACTTATTTAGCTGTGCAGTTTGGAGGTACAATTCAAACCCTGTCCTTTGCTCCACTGAAGGAGGTTTATGCAACGAAGCCTCTATAATATGTGTTAAAAAGACAAGCTAAATATATTTGAAATCAGCATGCCAAGTGAAATGTGGGGAGGGCTATTTTTTCCTTGGAGGGGGGAGGCCTGCCATTTTTGTGTAATGGAACAATTTGAGAACAGTCATAAAGCATTCTCCATGCTGCAGGTGGACTTTGAATTCCTGCTCCACAGACTAGAGGCTAATGATAAATTACCTGATCTATGTGGGTGGTTGGAGGTGGGGGGAAGAACTGATAGCTGCACATTTTCTAAGGCAGATTATAACCCCCTAACTAGGCTATAAACTCTCTTCCCCTTTTATGCTGCTGAGAACAGTAGTCTCTTTTTGTAAATGAGGTTTCCTACAATGGAGACTGCTGGCTGGGAGTCTGAATTAAGAACATAGTTGGAAAGACAAAAGAGTGAAGCCTGTTTAATTAGGATGAGATATACTCTCCCTTCTAAATCCTCCAATCCCAGTTTAGCAGAGCATAGGGGTTGTTAGCACTGAAAGGTCTGACTTGCTGACTGGGGTAAATGCAATGCTCAGCAGATAAAGTAATGCATAATTAATTGTTCTTTGTTGCATTCTTTCCAGTATAATGACTTGTAGCATTCACACTTATAATAATTGATGTTTCTGTGTGCTGGGGCTTCAAGACAGCCAGTTAAGGCAGTGGAGGTGGTAGCTGGTGGTAGCTGTGCAGCATCTCTAGCATCTGTGTGTTACCAACATGTGGGCTATAGCTTTTTTCTTTCTTTACTTGTTTTTAGTGCCTAAAACAGTATGTACAGCTGGCAATTCAAGAAGGTTGTGGATCTTCTATCACATGTCCAGACATGGTATGCCTGAACCATGGGACCCTACACGAAGAAGAGGTACCAGTACTTTTTTCTTTCTCTCTTTTTTTTTTAACATACCTCCCCCTCCCCAATCTTCTTTATATATACATAATGAATATGATCATAAACTTTTCCTCTCTTTAATTACCTTTAATGAGCTTTTGGCAAGAAGCCTGACTGACAAGAGGAACTAGAAACAAACAGATGTTTTTCAAGGGTTTTGCACTTTTCCCTCCCTCTGTTCCTTGAAGAAAGGCTTACTTGGCATCCTGACAACTTCTGAATTACCCATGCAGGTGACTTAGCCAGAATACCCTGTATCCCAGAATTGCTGAGCCTCCATTACTGTTGTCAGTTAAATCAGATTTGATTTGACTGCAAACACTGTAATTCTTGCACCTCTTGTAACTCAAGAGCAAGAACTCAAAGTCATGGGCCAGAATTTCTTCATGTACGTTTTTATTGGTCTGCAACAACCAATTTGAAGTCCAATATAAACGTGCAAGACTCTGTATAGTTATAGAGAAAGAAAGGTAACTGCACAGCACTGAGTGGAAGTAGGTCTTAAGAAATTCAAGTGTCTTCTCTCCCAAGGCAGATATGGGACAGGCTGAGAGCTCAGAAGCTAAATGAGGTTTAGGTAGGGCTGTTTGCACATCAGACACACGCACAATCTTCCAGTGTAACTGGAAGATTCAGTTTCAAAGTCAGAGGTGGAGAAACTGGAGGGGAAATTGTGCTGTTCAGACCTTCTTGCACTGCTTGGGACAGTGAGGCCCAAGGGGCTTTTAGATGGCTCCTAACAGGCTGCCTGATGGCTTTCCCACCGATGCTCAAACAGCCTCCTGCCTGACTTAGGGATGGTGTAAAGTTGCTGAATTGTGTTTAGCACCAAGCCCATGATGTGGGAGAAGCTGTTGGCAACGTGGCTGGAACCCTAGGAGGTGCCAGATGTTCTGTGCTTCTAGAAGGCCACAGAAGACTGTGGACAAATCTGATGTTGCTCTGCAGCTATTCTTGCTTTGTAAACCAGGTAGCTGCCCTGCTGGGCCTGAGAACACATGCAGGAAAAGAAATCAAACCAGGAAAAAAAGGTGGTTAAGGAATTGTAGCTGGTTTTGTGCATTCTCTGTGCATTTGTTTGCAGAGACAAAATTAAAGAGAATCAGGTCTCCATCCCTGAACTGAAGAAAAGCAGCTTACCTTCTTGGTTCCCTTGAGCCCTGTGACTACAGATGACATAGCTGTGGTAGAAGTATATAATCTTACTAAAATATAGTCACAGGCAGTGAAATTCCCAATACCAAAAATGCCTATTGTTCCAGAAGAAAATCATGATCTCCTCTCCAGCATACCTTTGAAACACCATGCTTAGCTGAATCAGGGCCTGGGAATTGCAACTATGTTTGTCATGGCATGCCAGGATATGGTGGCACTTTTCTTTGGCTAGATACAGCTATTGTGGAAAGTAGCCAACTGTTTCCTTTCCTCCTTTCTTCTGTATAGATACTGAGAGGGTGTAGCAATATCCCTTCTACCCATCCCACCAGGTTGGGGGTTTAGTCTTGAAAATGTGTTTTTTAAAGAAAATTAACAAATGGTAGCATTATGATGCTATAGGAATTATAGAGATATATTTCCCCTTAGTAAAGCAGGAGAAAACTCCAGGGCAGATATAAATGAACCATTAGCTTAATCTTAGGGTGTTTTCTGGGCTGAAGGCAGGATGACTAAACAGCCCAAATGCGCATTAGTATCCTGTGGATAAATGAATGTTCTGATGCTCCCTTTTGGCAATGTGCTTGAAAGACAGACTTCCACTTGAAAAGCAAACAGGCACCCAACCTGGTTAAAATGAACTGCTCATGTATTTTGCCAAACCCCTTTCTTTAAGAACCCCCCCCCCCCCCGAGCCCCAAAGTAATGATAGAAAGTATAGATTATCTGTTAATAATATGGAAGTTTAGTATGTAAACTACAGAGTGTGTAGGAGCACTCTGTATTCTGTATTGGTCTTTTTTTTCACCTTTGTGTTAGCATCAGAGTTTTGAAAAAATACTTTTCATGTCATGTCCATTTTAGACTCTGCTGTGACTGAAGTTTACCAGGTACCATTACAGTTTGGAGAAAACAGCAGTTCAGACTGTCTTTGTCATGGACATGGGGTTAAGTTGGTTCCTAAACTTTAGGCCAAATTGTGTTTAATTATGTTAGCTAACATGGTTGTTTTGTTTCCTTTTTAAATGCCTTTTGCCCTTGCCTGTAAAGGTGAATTTCAACATAATTTGAAGTGAAGGAAAGCCTTTTCATTGGCTTTGGATTGAGCTTGATTCAATGAGGAAACTGAACAATTAATAACAGAGCTTATAAGCAATTTATAACGCGTTATAGCTATGAAGGTTCCTCTACCTCTCTCTCTCAAGGTCTTTATTCATACTGTATAGGAAATGTTGGGAATTCAGGCTTTACTTTTGGTCTTTGTGCCTCTTTGGACCTGAGAAGAAAAAGTTCCAAAAGAACTTAAAATGAAGAGTCATTTAAACTAGAAATGTACTTTTCAGTACTTTGAAAATATGTTTCCTGAAACCCCTCTGTTTGGTTCTGGGTTTGATTTTTGGTTTTGTTTTGTTTTTTACTTCAACAAAATCCAGTCAAAACTGATACGTTTCCCAGCAGTTCTTTTTTGTTTTGACAATAGTACATTTAAACAGAAGGAACTGTTCCACTGGAGTGCTTGATTGCACTGGAGTGCAATCCTAGGTCAGATCTTGACCTGTTACATCAAGATAGCAGCTGCTTGTATTATAGCCAGTTTCAAGTAGAAATAAATGGGTGTTGGTGCTGGGAAGGCAATGGTTTTGGCTACAGACTCTGTTTCAAATAGCTGGTTACACACAAAAAAAGGGGAGTTTAAAAGCAATCTCATTAAACAGGATGTTTGTCCTTTCAAGCTCTAATAGTATGGTAAACAAAGATGATTTTTTAGAAAGATGATCTTTTAGATGATGAAAGATGATTTTTTTAGTTTGCTGATGACACCAAGCTGTGTGGTTCGGTTGATACACTGGAGGGAAGGAATGCCATCCAGAGGGACCTTGACACGCTTGTGAGGTGGGCTGATGCCAACCTCATGAAGTTTAACCATGCCAAGTGCAAGGTCCTACACCTGGGTCGGAGCAATCCCAGACACAACTACAGGCTGGGCAGAGAAGAGATTCAGAGCAGCCCTGCAGAGAAGGACTTGCTGCTGGTCGACGAGAAAATGAACATGAGCCGGCTTCAGTGTGCGCTTGCAGCCCAGAAAGCCAACCGTATCCTGGGCTGCATCAAAAGGAGTGTGACCAGCATGACTCTGCTCTTGTGAGACCTCACGTGGAGTACTGTGTGCAGTTCTGGTGTCCTCAACATAAAAAGGACATGGAACTGTTGGAACAAGTCCAGAGGAGTGCCACAAGGATGATCAGGGGACTGGAGCACCTCCCAGATGAAGATCGGCTGAGAAAGTTGGGGCTGTTCAGCCTGGAGAAGAGAAGGCTGCGTGGAGACCTCATAGCAGCCTTCCAGTAGCTGAAGGGGGCATATAGGGATGCTGGGGAGGGACTCTTCATTAGGGACTGTAGTGACAGGACAATGGGTAATGGGTTAAAACTTGAACAGGGGAAGTTTAGACTGAATATAAGGAGGAAATTCTTTCCTGTTAGGGTGGTGAGGCACTGGAATAGGTTGCCCAGGGAGGTTGTGAATGCTCCATCCCTGGTGGTGTTCAAGGCCAGGTTGGACGAGGCCTTGGGTGATATGGTTTAGTGTGAGGTGTCCCTGCCCATGGCAGGGGGTTGGAACTTGATGATCTTTAGGTGCTTTCCAACCCTAACTATCCTATTCTATGATTCTATGATTCTATGGTTTGGATTCCTTCCTGGCAGCAGAAGGTAGAAGGAACATCTTACATTAGTACCGTTCTTTTTAACCATGCAGACTTCTGTCTAGAATATTCCTCTCTCTCTTGGGAATTTGCTCCATTGATTTCATTGGCCCCTAACCTAAATAAGGGTTAATTTATCATGGTTTGAAATGGTTTTGTTTGGTGCAAATCAAATCACCAGTGTGAGCTATGAATCAGGGTAAATCTCAACTGCAAACAGGGATTTCTAATGCAATACTCACTCGGATAATGTCTAGGGAGTTGTGCTTTGCTCTTTCTGATTCCTGTATTGTTTTGAAGCTTATAGCATTGATGCCAATGATCCATGTATACATAATCTGATCCGAATTAAAACAAGGCAGCAGGCAGTAAAGTAGTTACTGATTTGGGCTGTCTTTTTGTGTCTTTTGAGAATTACCCCTTTGCATGCAGTGCAAATTCTGCTTATTGTCACTCCATCGGTGTAGACTATGATCTGCACTAATACTAACCTGACAGAGGGTTGTCAGCACTTCGTAAAGTTATGCTGAAATGGGACAATGACCCCGATCTTAGAACTCTTAATTGCGCTATATTCCATGCACGGCTGAACAAAAATCCCGTTGGGTGTCAGTTTAAAATAAGAGTTTTATTTTTAATTTGAAAATTGGTTTACAATTTGCTCGGGGTGATTGAAATGGTAAAATGAAGAGGAAGCTGAGAAAATGTTGCAGTCAACCTGTCTTTTTCTGGGTCAAAATTACAATTTTGACTCTTATTTACTCTTTTTTAAATAAATCCAAGTGGAGCAAATGAGAGAGCCTTAATCTTGGTTGTATTTGCCACCGAGTAAGAGAAGAGCTCCCTAATGGAGAAAATGAATAATTTAATATTTCATTATGACTCTAGTGAGCGTGGTAACTGGTGAAGAAAGGTGTGGGTGTAATTTCTAACAGTGAAGAGTCTGAATTCCCATGCCCCTTTCAAAAGCAAACCACTGCCCAAGCGAAAACTGTTTTGCACTCCTTGCAAAGCCAGACAGTGCCCATGTGACTGGGACTTTCTCAGAGGAGGGCAATGCAACCCCTTTGCAAACAGCCATTGCTGCTGCCAGTGCATGATCTGCCCTTGTTGTGTATCTGCTAAAGTGAGAAAGGGAGAAGCACTTGTACTGATGAACTTCCTTGCCTTGGCATTATCAAGGTTTGATTCATATGGGTGTGAAAGGAAGTAAGATCTATTCAGTTTTCTTGATTGCCTCCTTGCATCTCCCTTGAAGGCCTGAGAATAGGTGGAGCAGTGATTTTCCCTTTCCACTGTGGTAGCCAGCATTTGAAAACAGGGGAGTTGTTCTTCCTTGGCTCCTGGTTACTACACTGCCTGGGTTACAAGGAACACTCTGCCCCTGTGTAAACCAAACCCGATTATTTCAAATGCTTTCATTTTCCTTCCTTTGCTCTTTGTCTCGCATAATAACAGGGCCCTGGTTATCGCACCACATTGGGCAGTCCTTTTGGACACTTGGCAAGGGTCCAGCTGGAGCCTTTTGTGGTAGTGAACCTTCAAACTTTTGCTTTTTTTCCATGGATATTTGTACTTCAGGTGAAAGCTGCTGCTGTTAGTGAGAGCTCTTACATGTTCTTGTGCTCTATAACAAGGGTATTTTAACTGCTTATGTTGTTAACAGGTTATAGAAAACCAGAAAACCTACTTCAAGTCCCAGCAGCCTGCTAAGTCACAAATCTACATCTTCTCAGGAGAGGAGAGTTCTTGCCTCATTTTCTTCATAGGCTTTGATTGTAACCTTAATCCAGTATTAAAAAAAAAAAAAAAAGAGAGAGATAAAAAAGACCAAAAACTTGTCCTGTAGCATTTCTGGCTACACTGAATAATTTCATGGCCTAGAATAGGAAATGTCTGCTTTCCAATGTGCTTATGGTCTTTCTGTCTTGGCCCTTTGCCACCTGCTGGAGTACTGGATTGCTTCTTCCCCAGATCTCATAGCAGCCTTCCAGTATCTGAAGGGGGCCTATAGGCATGCTGGGGAGGGACTCTTCTAGGGACTGTAGTGATAGGACAAGGGATAATGGGTTCAAACCTAAACAGGGGAAGTTTAGATTGGATATAAGGAGGAAATTCTTTCCTGTTAGGGTGGTGAGGCACTGGAATAGGTTGCCCAGGGAGGTTGTGAATGCTCCATCCCTGGTAGTGTTCAAGGCCAGGTTGGACGAATCCTTGGGTGATATGGTTTAGTGTGAGGTGTCCCTGCCCATGGCAGGGGGGTTGGAACTTGATGATCTTAAGGTCCTTTCCAACCCTAACCATTCTATGATTCTATGATCTACATCCTCTGTCTAGCCCAGAAGTGTGTGCGATTGTGCAGAAGAGGAGGTGTTTGGGATGGACTTCTGCATGGAGCTGGAGAAGTTGTGCAGAAAAATTGTATGAAGATGAACATTTAGACTCTGATGCCAAGCAGAAGATAAAAACCTAATCCCCTTACCATGTTTACGGCTGTACTCCTCAATTAAGCATAAGTGGGTTTAAAAGTTCACTCAGGAAAGGATTTGCTGGTTTTTGGGGGACCTGATACTGATGTTTCTTTTTTTTTTATTATTATTATTTTTTTATTTCAATTGAATTTGCATGTACAGCTTTGATGTGTCCCCAGTTTCAGGCAGCAGCAGATTGTGCATTCCTGTCCTCTTGCCTAATGATACTAAACCTGTGGGAGGCTTCAGCTCAGTCTTTCTCAGGTTGATCTCAGTGTGGGTGTTACTGGGGTCTGATCCTTCAAAGCCTGGGGGAGTCAGTGCCACTGGTGTGTGTTCAACACCCAGAGCTGTATGCAGGGATGGGGGACCTAAACTGTGAAAAGGGTACGTAAGAAGAAGAGTGGAGTTGGTGAAACCGGTGGGAAAGGCTTTCATGGTAAAGCCAGGTCTCCAGTTGGAGAAAGGAAGGCTTACAGTGCTGACTCTGCTTTCTATTGAAATCTACAGTGACACTCCTAACTCCAGTCCCACTGTAATCAAAAAGGCTGATTTTTAATACATGGGAAGTTCTGGGCTCAACAGAGCTGCTCTTGGAAAACCGTTTGCTAAAAGCAAAAGCAAGCACAGGAAGACCCCAGACAACTAAACAATTCACTCAAGTGGCTCTTACAGCATTGAGACGCACTGTTTAATTTAGTCATGATGAAGGGAAATTTAGAGTAGTTGCCAATGCTCAGCCAGCTAGAGAAAAGCAGTGACTTCTTTCGTTTTCCAAACTCCCATTTAGATTTGCAGCTGCCCTGTGGAGAAGTGGGCAATACTGAAACTATGTGTCTTGTGGATTTTATACAGCTTTGTTGGTTGTCATCTTCACCGAAGCTGCTGAACTTGACTCTTTTCGCCCTGTTTGTTACTTGTTTTCCAAGAGTGTTACAGCTGATTTCTGATGAACAAGTGAAGAGTTTGCCAGGAAGCCCTCCATGTCTTACAATCATACTAATGTAATATTGTTTAGATATGCAAATACTTTCATACTAAAAATAGTTTACTCCCTGAAGTCAGAAATTGAACAAGGACAGTGCTTTTGACCCAGGGCTGTCTTGCCTAAGAGTATGCTTTGTTCAGATCTGTGTTTCCCATTGTGATATTAAATCCTTTGATTTATTCAAGTGTAAGTCTTTTAAGCGTCTTTGAATACTTAAATCTTGACATCAGATAAATGATCCAAATATCTGCTTCAGAATGCAATTTTAATTCCAATTGATTTGATGTGGATATATCATTTTCTTTTTTCCATCTACAAAAGCAAATTATCCACATCTTGATGTTGAATTATATATTGAATTTTTTTTGCTTTTGTATTTCTTCTCACGAGTGCTGTGTCACACATCCCAGAAGGATAGCAAGGGCCAATGTCCACTTCACGGAGGACAAAACTGTGCCTTTTACAGTAATCTGAAGGACTGTGCTGGGATGCTGGATGTGAGGTTTGAGAGCCCTTCATTTTGAAACTGCCGGTTCTGCACTGTCCCACAGTGCTTCAGATGATGAGGTGCTGTATTAGTATTAGCCTAGGTTTATTTTCAGTAAAAGAGAAATAGATTTTCAGTGCTGGTGCAATATTCCAAATGAATCAGATACAGAGAATGATCTCAGATTCTGAGTCCAACAAACATGTGGCTCCTGAAATGTCTGTAAAGTTTCTTTGAACCCTTCCTTACCTAGTATGCAGGTTTGTTTAAGGGTTTTAAATAGGGTCCTTGGTTTTCCTACATAGACTGTTATCTTTTAGGCTGCTAGTTTAATTATGGTAATGTATAAAATGTATCAGCAAAACCTGTTTGGCTATACCAGCTAAATTTGTTAACTTCAGTTCCCAGTGGGCTGGTGTATGTCTCAGTCAAATTCTAACAGGAGTGCATTAACCATCTCAGCCCAAAACCCATGAAGTGAATAAAAAATGGAAACCAAAGAGCTAAGTGACCCCTGCCATTAAGGCTGAGGAACGAGGAACCATTCTTTTGAGCTGTGTTCTTGTGCATGAACAACATACTGCAGTCTAGAAGCCTGGCAAGCTGTCACCCTTTGTTACATTAAACCAACATGAAATAAGACTGAGAAGCCTGAAGTAAATAGAGAGTCTACAGAGAAGACTTTCCTATGCATAGTAAAAAAGACATGGCCTGAACTACTGGGCTGTGTTGCTGAAACTGGAGAGATCAAGAGCTACTTTAAATTTTGGAAAAGGAAGCCAAGGTATAGAGGAACGTGGTGGTGAAAGCAAGCAGGGAAAAGTGGTGGATTGGAGAGCCAGCTCAGTTGGGCAGGTGTATAGAACAGAGTGCTTATTAATTCTTTTCAAGTCTGTGTTCCTAATGTTTTTCCTGTGTGTTTGTTTCTCATTTCAGATTGCCTGTTTGGTGCCGGTTGACCAGTTTCAGTTATACAAGAGACTGAGGTTTGAACGAGGTGTGAACCTTATGGTTTCTATTACCTTCCTTTTTAATGTGTCAGTGGAGGCAGTGTCAGTATTACATACTGCAGAGACAAAGCCTGTTGGGCAACTTAAGAGACAGAGAAGATACCTTTGTTCTGAAAGAATTTAAGAGCAATCACTAGGTCTGACTGTGCTCCATAGACAATTTTTTTAATCTATTTTTTATTTTTTTTATTTTTTTCTGAAATGACTTCAGTGGAGCAGAATCAACAGACTGGTGTCTTACTGAAATACCACAGTTTTACTGAAGCTTGTGGGCAACACCTTCAGATTGCACGCCTGAGGCTCCATTGTTCTTCCTGCAGCATGCTCGTCCTGCGTCTTTGAGGTGGTGATTGTACTGGTAGAACTAGACAAGGTGCTAGAGGCTGGTGCAGGATGCACACAGTCATTTCATACATCCATAGGGATCTTCAGAGCTTCCGGGGGAGAGAGACCCTGCAGTGTGATATGGGTTTTTGCAAAAGCTGCTTGCTCCATACAAGGAACTTTTCATATGTAGAAGTCTCATGTGTGCTCATCTAGTGTATTTTATTTTTCCTGAGGGATAAATGAACCCCTCATTACTGAGTAAGGCCCATTAGTAAAGAAGTTTGAAAGTGTTACTGGGGCCCAGCTTTCCTATGCCAGAGGCCAGCCTTCTGCTTCAGAAGATGGTTCCTTGCCAAGGCTGAAGAATAAACTTGCTAGTCAGAAAGATGAGGTCCCACACTGGTTTTAAAGGCTGACACTGACTTGAAAGCCTCAGCTGGAAGCTGCAGTGTTTTTCAAAGAGCTCACTCCATGGTGGCTTGCAGGGTAGTGTATCTGGACTGATCTGTTGTGACTCTGCCTGTTTTCAAACTTCCCCTGACAAACTATTCATGTTCTTGCTTTACATGCATGCCTAGATGCAAATAGATTGGGAACATCTGTACAAAAATGCAGGAGTTCATAAAAGTGAGGCACAGTAATGCACTTGGAAAGATGGTCAGTGGAAGAATAAGTGGGTTTTTACAGAATTTCATCTGACATGAGTCACAGTGAATGATCACGAAGTACACAAACTGCAGCATGCCCCCGAGTTCATGGACAGATGCAGATTGTAGCTGTGATTTGCAGGCATTCAGGCCAAAAAGAAAAAATGAAATTCCCAAACCCTGCTTTATTTTTTATTTCTCTCTCCTATTTTACCTCCTTCTTGTTTATCCTTAATTCCTTAAGAAGTCCCTCAAGTTCATAAGCCAAGCAGTGGCTTGTCTAGAGCCCTAGACAGGGGAAATCAGAGCTTTTAAATCACCATATTAAAGCAATTAAGAAACAGACATTCTTGCAATACATTGATCTGTTTTATATAAAACCTTTTTTTTAGCTGAGGTCTTGAAACTAAGGATTTCCTGGTACCTCCTCTGTAACTAGCCAAAGCTGAACTCATGATCTTTTGTGCCATTCCCTGTTACATCTCTTTTCTTTTTTTTACTGCCTCCCACACACAGAACCCTGAAAGTTGTCTGTTTTTAAAATCCTCCTTTTCTTTCTTGATTAGGTCTGGCAAATATTCCTCCACCTCCATTACCTCTTTTCTAAGATCTGTCCTTTCTCCTTTATGATGAGTAAAAACTGGCATACCAGCAGCAGGCTTATACATAGCCTTTTTGCCTTGCCTATTGGTCACAGTAATAAATCCAGCATACTGATTCCTGCTAACTAAAGCTCTGACCTGGACACCAGCCTGATCCAAATCCTGGCTAAGACCTTTTACCTGTGCTGGATTTAGCCCCGTTCTCAAGGCTGATCTCTATGGACTTGGCTTATTAGCTTCTGCTGGCCTGAAGCTTGTCCTCATACCTGACCCCAGCATGGCAAGCCTGCGTGCCCCGACTAGTACCAGCCAACACTGACCTGAGAGTCCTTTTCTGAAACCAGCAATGAACCTTGCTGATGGCACCTGCTGGGGCTGTATTCTGACCCAGAATCTGCCCAGGGACTCCCAGCAGCAGAGATCTGGTATGTGTCTTGTGTCTGTGTCAGCCTTAGTGCAGCGTAGCCCATTTCAAACCTGGGGCTACAGAAAACCCAGGCCTCTCCTCTCTTAAAATGGACAGGTACTAGGGTATCCTTCATGACTTGCTCTGATCAACTGAGTGATTTATTCAAACCCTGTAGCTTCCTATTTTAGACCCTTCTTTCAGCTTTATTCTGTTGAGATACAGGATCTTTGCTTCAGCACTCCCTTTGCTTTACTAGAAATGCTTCTTGGGTAAGTCAGAAGACTCACTCTGTAGTGTTTGCTTACCAGTGTTCAAGTGATTGGTAAAGCCAACGCTTCTCACCCTTCCAGACATTTTGTATTGTGAGATGAATTTTGAGGAAAGTTTTGAGGACCTGAAGAAGGGCTTATACATCCAAAAGCTGTTTTTCCTATTCCCCTTGCTAGCTATTTTAATAGAAGGGATCTCTTCTCCGTTTCCTTATTAAAAAAAAAAAAAGGCAAGTAATATTGGGTGAGAAAGTAGTGGGAACTGTTATCCAGTTGTATACCTGTGTACATTTGCTTGGTTCAGTAAGGAATGCACTGAAAGTATTGTCTTGTGGGTTTTGTGTTCTTAGAATGCAAATGTTTTCAGGCTTAAAAGCAAGCTTTCTTACATATCTGTAACTTCTCTGCATCCAGTCAGGACCTAGCCACAGAGCTTCCATGCAGCATATTTTAACAGAAGAAACAGGAATTGCTCTGTGTTTGTTGAGGAAGGGGTTGATGTGGTCATCAGAAGTAATGAAATAGAGGAATAGGATGTGGTTAGGACATATGCATTATATTTCTATTTTTGTGACAGTTGCCCAATAGACCAGGTGGTAGATAATGAGGATCTCTATTTTATGCCTGACCAAAAAGTAGTCCATTTTAAAAGGAAGTGTTCCTAATACTCCGTGAAAGGCATAGGCTTCATCCTTTCATTGAGTACCTCTCCTGAGCCAGTTCTCCTTTCTTCAGGGTGCTGTCTTTCCCCCATCTGTCTCCCACCTGCTTGCTTGTATGTCTTGTGAAAACTGGCCCAATTCCTGCCTGCTGTTGACACTGTGTGGGAAAGCTTTCCTCCTGAGAGTGGAGCAAGTGTGTCTGAACTGGCTCTGGGGAAGCAGGGGAAAGGCTTGGGAGAGAAATGGCCCTAACCAAAAGATGGAGAAGCTTGTCGCAGCAATGAGATAGCCTCTTTCCTTTTTTTTTTTTTTTTTGGGTGCTCCTGTTTAGTTTTTTCTGGTTTCACTTTTAAGCCATGGTAAACAAAAGCCATGGATTGCAAAACACCATCTGTAGGTTCTTTGTAAAATGGAGGAAGTGGCAGAGGAGGAGTTTCATCTCATGCATTACATCTTGCTACAACAAATTTGTAAAAATCAGTTAAGATTTACAAGCCAACTCCCCTCCTCCCAGTGATGTTAAAACCAGACATCCTAGCTTTCATCCAAAACCAGGACAGGAGAAGTTAGGCTTCCAGAGGTATGTTAAGCAGCTGTCTGTGGGAGCTGCACTTTGTCTCATTTTAACTGCTGTTTATCAACAGAAAGCATACAGGACCTACTGTGTGAAGACTTAAATGCAATACCCAGTCCTAGGCCATGGTCTTGACTAGTTCAGAGTTTCTTTTAAGAGACACCAAGGGAAGCTACAGAAATAATGATTTCTCAGTCAGGACGCTACTTTTTAAAAGTATATAAAAATGAAATATGGCTTGTACTGCCCATCCTTGTGTCTCCTTTCCTCCAACAAATGAAGCTGAAAACTGTTTTGTTCCAGCTTTCATTCAGTACAAACCAAAATGTTTGTTTGGTCTGTGGGGCAAAGGAAGCACATGTAAGAGCGTAAGAGGAAAGAATGCAACAAGTTCATGAAACAGATGGAGGTGGATGGTACAGGTGTTTTGCTGGCATTACCTACAGATGACATGATTGGGGCATCTGCTAGATATCCATCCACCAGCCCCCTTCACTGTGGTTTACAAGCAACCTCCTGCAGAAGAGCAGTACAGGCCAGGGGGATGTGCTTTGGAGGAAGTGCCTTCAACTGTTTTAGCAAAATTTGCCAGAGGACATGTGTCTGTGCCCCTCGCACAGCTTTTTGTTTCAAGTGGGACAATATTTTATCTGCTGGAGGTACATTGTAATGGCTTTGGCATCTCACAGTCAGGGATTTCCACCTGTTTCTGAGACATATCCTCCATCTACTTATTTTCAGTGGTGGTACCAGAGAGCTCCCAGGGAAGGAGGAGAGGCAGGTAGCTCCTGCAAGCACAACAGCCCTTTTCTAAGGAGGCTCTGTAGGGTGGGAGTTTTTGGCTGCACTTCATGGACTTGAGCAGCATAAGGTTGTACACAGAGTGGGCACCCGTAACAGTGAATGCGTTTCAGCTGGGTTTCTGCTGCAGGTCCAGATTCCTTGAATATATGCTGAGGAGTGAGAGGAAGGATCAACATTTATCATTCTTTGCCATGTCTGTAACTCAGCATCTCCACCCCGAATCTCATGTTGACTATCACTGTATCTGACAAACAGTGATCATATAATAAAGTGAATATTAATTGGAGTTTGTAGGTAGAAGGGAAGAAATAAGGCATGCAATGTGACCTAACATTAATTTAATCACAGCCCTGCTGTTTACATGAAAGATACTGCATAGCTTGCACACGTGAAAAACATGGGATGGCCTGATGTCACGAGATACATGCTTCTCAGGGAGCAGCAGTTAGGTTAATCTTTTGTACCTCCTTATAAAGTCAAAGAATACATCCTGTGTAGTGCATTGCCATTCTTGTGATGCTTCCAGTGCAACTGCCTTAACAGAGCACAATTGCAGACCTGCCTACTGAAGAGTAGGTTCAGACGCCCATAGGCATGGGCGTGGAGGACTTCAGCTTCCCCACCCACATGCAGAACTGGGTCTTGTGTACCTGTCACTGGAATGTCACTGGAATGGGAAGGGGACTGAATAAACAGTTTTATTTCTCTCTCTGATACATTTCAGAAGTCCACTTGGACCCCCGGAGAACATGGTGCCCTGCAGTCGACTGCCAAACGGTGTGCCATATGGCACCAAGCGAGTCGGGAGCACGGATGCTGGTTGAATGCCCATCTTGCCACCTGAAGTTCTGTTCCTTTTGCAAGGAGGCATGGCACCCACAGCACCTGTGCCAGGAAAACCAAATTCCTTTGCTAAATGAGCAGGGGTAAGAGGGGAACCCACAGAAGTCACGCTGTCTTTTGGTTCTTTATGACATGGGGTGCTAGCTCTGTGCCTCTCATCAGTTTAATGAAACACCTTCTTTCTAACTCCTTAGGTGAATCTCTGAGGCTTTCTTTCTCTCCTGGTGCTTCCTAAAGTTAATTCCTGTCTTATTATTTTAAATGATAATTTTTTTTTTTAATACTTAATATTATTTGTGTACTTACAAAGTTTGGGTTGCCACTGACACTTCTGAAAGGTGAAACCCTCCAGGGCTTTGAATCTACCTAAACAGTTTGTTCACAAGCTAGAATTGTGACTTGTGCCCATACAAAAAATCCAGTACACCAACGATATTCTAGGATTCAAACTTGTATCCTAGATAGGATATCCTATCCAGTCAAGCTTATACAGTGATTAAGAAATCACCCCTGCTTAATATTTATCTGCACAGACAAATCTTAACTCTTATGCAGAGTAAAATGTCCCATTTTGTGTGAGAAACCTGATTTAAGCTCATACAGATAAAGTTGAATAAGAGATTAATCTACAGAAAGAGAGCACTTTTGTATTTAAATTAGATCATATCTCTGGCCATCTGTCTTTGTCTTTAGAATCAGACAACTTTCAGTCATATGCATTCAAAGTTTTCTATTATTTTTTTTTTGCAAAAAATGAAAGACTTCCTTAAAATCTAAGCATTTTGCTTGCTAGAAACCTCATTGAATAGGAGCTGCCAGAGAGCTCTTGCCCTAACTTTTTTTTCTCTGAGTTTGATATCTGGCTTTAGCGGAGGTTAAGGTTATTTTGTTCAGGCAAGGACTGTTACGAGTTGCGTAATCCAGTCTTGTTAAATGAATTGTGCAAGCTGTTTTACAACGTGCTGTTTTTTAATTCTACAGATGATAGATTAGTGGGTGTAGTGAGTGATAGTTTTATGTAGCATAAAAGACAAAGGGAATGGAGTTTAACTTTTACGTGATATTAATAATCTTACACCTAGTAGTGAGTATACTTCAGTATACTGTACTGAGCATAATAAGCTTCACACACTGAGTGCATTAAACACAACAACATTAAATGCTCTGGAAAATAAGCTCAGTACACATAAGGACCTGAATATCAACAGTAATTACATTCACGTTTAACTTGAATGTTTCTTTGCCCTTCTAGATCACTTATTGGAACAGAGTCAGAGGCACCAATTAAGCAGTGCCCAGTTTGTCGGATCTACATTGAGCGAAATGAGGGCTGTGCTCAGATGATGTGCAAGAACTGCAAACACACATTTTGCTGGTACTGTCTGCAGAACTTGGATGTAAGTGCTGCAGAAAAAAAATAGCTAAATAAAGGGTAAAGGGGCTGGGCTTAGTCTGAGGCCCTGTACAAACTCTTCATCAATTTATTGATATCCTAGTGAATGTCTTGGCTCAACTGAGCTCTTGATTTCATTTCTTTCTTCTTGTTCACCCAGTGTTTTTATTTATATGAATATATTTTTTTCCATAAAGGGTTATAAACATTTCTGTGGGTCCCATGCTAGTTTTTTTGAGGGAAATGGGATAAATCAGTTGCTTCCTGGAGGTCCATTCCAGCACTAGCTTTCTCTGATTCCCTCTTCCAGTGAAGTAGCTAAAACCAGTTTGTTTGAGAGCCAGGGAAATAAGGGTCTTCCACCTGACAGGTCACAGCCTGTTCAAAAAATGGCATGGTAGTGGGTGAAGGGGGTTGTTTAACTGCAGGGTGAACTCATATAGACTAGGTCTCCTTTACTGGTCCATCTGTAGTGCCATGGTTACTAAAGAGAATGATTGGTTAGTAGGTTTGGCTATAAAAGTATTGGATTATAAGCTTGAATTGTGAAGTGCAGGTTGCTAGTTACTTCTCAAGGGATACCAACTAGTCTCAACTTGTGTGGCTTCAAGTTTCCTAGCAGGATTAATAGTACAGGAAGTAATGTGCTCATGTATATTGCAGCTTCCCTTCTTGAAACGGTTGTCAGAAACAACAGTGGGAGTGTGAAAAGGACTTTACCAGCACTTGAAATGAAATGTTAGGTGCTGCATAGCTTTTCTTCTTTGTACTTTGCATCCAGCAAACAATGAGACTTCCTCATTCTTTGTCCTTCCTTTTCTCAGCATGCTAAACAGGTTTTGCTTAGTGTCAGATCCTGTTTCTGTGTGTGAGCATGCTTTTTCAACATGATTCTTACCGCTTGCCCCAGAGTACATACAGTACACAATTGCTTAACACTGTGCTGAACTGGAAGACTGCCACATCCTCAGAGATTCTGCAAACATGCCCATATCAAGTTTTCATCAGCTCAAAATGAGGAAGAAGAAGGAAGCTGGAGGGTGATTTAAATGTAGTTTTTCTAAATATGCAGGGTTACAGGACCTCCTGGCATAGGTGAAGGTACTACCTGCAGAGCCAAAGAGTAGGGCTTTAAAATGAAAGAGGAAGCAGCAACAGGTTACAGCATAGCTGGCTGAGGGAGGGTAATGCAGGGCATTAGTCACTTTCTGGAGTAAAAATGGGTCATTTCATAAGCATCAGTGGAAGAAGAACAAGGAAACAGGGATTTCTCTTTTTTTGAATTTTCCTGTTAAGCTTAAGAAGGAGATGTCTATAAGGTGTAGGAACAGCAGAACAGAAGGTGGAAGTACCTCAGGAAGATGAGGAGGATGGTAGGACAAGGGGTAATGGGTTAAAACTTAAACAGGGGAAGTTTAGATTGGATATAAGGAGGAAATTCTTTCCTGTTAGGGTGGTGAGGCACTGGAATAGGTTGCCCAGGGAGGTTGTGAATGCTTCATCCCTGGCAGTGTTCAAGGCTAGGTTGGACGAGGCCTTGGGTAATATGGTTTAGGGCGAGGTGTCCCTGCCCATGGCAGGGGGATTGGAACTTGATGATCTTAAGGTCCTTTCCAACCCTAACTATTCTATGATTCTATGATTCCTCAAATTGCTAGTTTTCAGAAGTATCTGCTATTTACCTCGCCCCTTTATCATCACCAAATTACAGATGGGGTACTTTTGCAGTAGGTGCAACGCATATGCTTGTGGTTTTTAAAAGTGGGGGTGAAAGGTTCTATAAAACAGCTCAGGTCCCACACACACCACACTTTCTGAAACGGCAAAAAGTCTCTCAAGATAATTATTTGGAAGCGGGACAAACTTGTCTGCTGGCAGCTGGTAATTTTAACGCAGCATTGGGAAAGTTGTATTTCCAGTCCAGTCTTGAACCTCTCCCTGCGGTACTGTAACCTGTTCTTACAGCTTCTACTTTTGTTTTTCAGAACGATATCTTCTTACGACATTACGACAGAGGCCCTTGCAGAAACAAGCTGGGCCACTCACGGGCTTCGGTGATGTGGAACAGAACGCAGGTGCGTTCCTAGTCAGCTGAACAAAGCTCTTATGCATGCAGGAAGCAAAGTGATTTTACCCTTCAGTGAAGGATAAAGATGATTATTTTCATGTTTTTATCTTTTTCTTTTTGGATGTCTGCTGTGCCTATGCATGCATATGTGTATTTTATGTTCCATGTCAGCTAAAAACATATTATTCACCACCATGTCTTTCAGGTTGTGGGGATCCTTGTTGGACTAGGTATAATAGCATTGGTGACCTCTCCTTTGCTGCTCGTGGCATCTCCGTGCATCATCTGCTGCATTTGCAAATCTTACCGAAGCAAAAAGAAGAAACACAGCCCGCCAACAACCTAAAACTCTGTGTCTCTCTGAGCCTCCATTTGCAGAGTGTATTTTTTGTGAGAAAGCACAATGGTTGTATTTTGGTGCCATACCTGCCAAATAATACTCTTCTACGCCAGTTCTTGGGATAAGTGCCTATTCCTTACAGGCTACTCTATCACTAACAAGTCCCAGTGTGGGAAAAGTCTAAGATTATCATTCAGTACATACGGTGTAGGTTTTTGCTTTCTAAAAGGAAAATGGGACACCATTCAGTAGTGCATACCCTTAAATGAGACAGCTTTTGAGACTGCTAGAACTTTATTATCTTTCCATCAGCTGCACATGACTTGATCCTGCAGTATTACTTCACCTCTGCAGACCCAGTCATTACTTTCATGCTTTCTGTTGGTTCTTGGTGCCGCTCAGACTCCTCAAAAAGTTTGGGTTAGTTTTTGAAAGAGGGAGAGGGAAAAGCCTGATTAAGTTCCTCTGTCTGCTAGCTTGTGTCCCATTAAAGACAGCAAACTCTTAAGAATATATTCTTGACAGTTTCCTGTCAATTGGCTGCCATGGCATTTCTTTTGGCATTGAAATCAATTTGATTTATACAGTAGAAATCAGTTACAGAACTAAAACCCAGCAAAACTATTTCTGACTAAGGTAGCACTCTCTTTTGAGAGACTGGACTACCTTGGGAAAGATGGTATTTTTGTCAGATCAAACATGACATTTACCTTGAAATATGAGGAATATGTGTATTTTCCTGCCATTGAGCATGCCTTTTGTCAGTAACCTGCAAGCAGCAAACTCACCATGAAGCTAATATTTTAAGAAAGGCCATGATACGGTTCCTATTTTGTGCACAGTATTGGAATTTTGGTTGTGCCTGTGTAGACTGGCTGCATGGGCACGGATAGAATATGTTTTTTCAACAGTTTACATGAGGTGGCAGCAAGAACCCTGTTAAAAATTTACACAGACCAGGCTAAGCCAAACCCTCCTTTAAAACGTTATGGACCTGCTGAAGTGAATACTTGAGAAATGCTGTGTAAATATAAGCTCTGTCCATTGGTGGCTGTTTCTTCTGTCCCACTCGAGGTTAACAAACTGTTTCCGATGATTTTTAGTTACTCTAAATCTGAAAGGCTGTCATTTAATGAATGCTTCATTTTAATTTGGTGCCTGACCACCAAACTGATTCAGACTCTGGTATCAGTTACACCTGTGTAAGTTCACCGAATCCTCACTGAAAAGCTGGAACTACTCCAGGCTCACTCAAGAGTAGCTGATGTCAGACTCTGCTCCCTGGAGTTTATTTCCTTAATGGCTGGTGCTCCTCACAACCCTGGCTGGTAATGGCTTTTGTTCTAGACTCCCATCTGTCCATTTTTTATCTGTGGGAGCTGATCTGAGTTTGCACTATGTAATCGGTTGTAATTCCAAACCCCTTTCAATAAGGGCGGCAAGGTTTAAATGAGATGCTCAGCCTGAGCAGCATGTTGGGCTCACCCTCCGCTGATCTGCCCTCCTTCCTCCATCTGCACAGTGTGAGGCACTCGAAGAGTGCTGCGAAGGGCATCTTTGCTGTTGCGTTTGGCCGAGCCTCAGGAACTTTGCCTTCTTGGCAGCCATAAATGTGACCTTTTTTTTGTGTAACTTCGCTCTCTGGTTACTGTAACAGAAGTGGAAGATGTTCTTATTTAAGAAAGTGTGGTCTGTTGAGCAGACTAGCAGGGACAGAGGCCTTAAATGATATTGTCTGGTTTACTTTTTAATTGATTTCTTTTATAAATACTGTCTGACTTTGCTACCAGTCGTGACTGGAGGGCAGGCAGTGCTCGCCAGTGTGAAAGGCTGTATTTATTCTCCATCCACAGCTTCGAAGGGAAGCAGAGAGATAGTCAGTACATTCTAAATACAGAGTGCAATGCAGGCAACTGCCATTTATAAAAAATAGAGAATGTTTTCTGTATGTGTTTTCTTTAAGAGCACTAATAGTAGTGCTTGCGGGTACTTGTGACAGATTAAAGTGTCCAGCCCTTGGCTTTGCACTGTTTTTCTATGTACGTTTTTATGGCACTACTGTAATTTCCATTTTATGTATGAACTTGAAGTTCAGAGTCTTACTTTAATGAAGCGTCAAGGACAAAGATACAGGAGCTGTATAGTCTCTTTAACCATAACCAGCATTGCAATGTACCAGTATCCTTTGCATGTTAAATTCAAGGGTTATTCATGTTTTATGGTCTTGTGTATGTCCAATGCACCCTCTACAATCTGGTTTCTCTCTGTGTCCTCTCCCTGTTTCCCTTGGCTTGTTTTTGCTAAAATGCCTATTGGAATGAAGGTGTCATGTTTTCTTCATTAATACTGCTGCTTTAATGAAACTGCCAAGTTCCTCCATGCAACTGAAGGCAGTTGTCCTACCCTGAATACACTAATGGACACAAGGTCACCATTTAAATTGCAATGCAAATTTAACCTTTTTTTATTCTTTAAATGCTGTTTAAAATTAATGCAGATCTCGTCATAAAGTGAGAATTTGTTTAATTGGTTTCAAAGATAATATTTTGTAACAACATTGCACACCTGCATAGTTGTAAAGTCTGGGAAAGCAACACTATTTAGTTTATTTTTAACCTTTTAGCTAAAGTGGAGGGTAACTCCTTTTGGAGGCTAATTCCTGCAGAGCAGAAGGAAGGCGTACCTTTTCTGTGCACACATTTTATTTCTGGTGCCAGTTTAGGTGCCTGGTGGAGGTACCAAAAGCACTATGCAGGTATTAGCACAACCTGGCAGCAAGAGTGCCAGTCCAGGCATCTAAGGGGCCTGTACGGAGACTGGCAGCAGTGGCCTAGTTGGAGGTCTTTACACTAAAGCTGGGTAAGGAGAGCATGAGCTACAGGCATACCTTCCTTTGGTTGTGTAGATGCAGCAAGTTGGCCAAGATAGAAGCTCTAGAAATACTTTAGAACTTGAAAGGTTAAAATAGAAGTCTTACAAAGATTATTTTCTTTAAAAGGCTTTGTTCGGTGCACCATGTGTCCTGGCTTTTCATTGCACAGGGATACATGAGCAGGTGCTTTAAGTAGACCACGACTTGGTCAGCATGTGAAGATGTGCTAACTCTGCCGAGTAGAGCAGTACCTGTGCTCATGTGCTGGGAGCAGTAGGGCCCTGTTGCCTTGTTTTCCAGAAGGCAGCTATTTTGCACTAGCTGGTATTGCTCACAGAGTTTCCAGAGAACCATTTTAGCAGGGATCTTTTTACAGTGTTGTTTTTTTGGCTTTTTTGTTTGGTTGGTTGGTTTTTAACTGTATAAGAAAAATCAGAGTCACTTTATAGGAAATTTATTGCAACTATGACAAATAATACTAACAAATCAGGGAGAAAGAAACAAAAACAGGACTCCATCTACTCGTGACTCTTCTATATCAATGTAGCTGTAAGTTTATCCTCTTGAACGCTATCTGTGTGGTGTAGTTCGTGCATGTTAGTACCAGGCTTCACTGCTCTGCTTTCCCATGTGGCAGGTGGCTGGTGTGTTGGTAGCATCCAGGGTAGAGCTCAGGACTGACACAGGGAGGGTACTGCTCAGGAGCTGGAGTCTATGGCACAAGGCCCACCCTAGCTCCATCACCAATTTGCTCCACCTCTCTCACTGAGAGAGACCTTGGGGGTTTTAGGCCATTAACTTTATATTGGCAGGATCTACAGAAGTCTCTCTTGAAGAACAAAAGTGGCAACTGCTGTGTTCCCTCTGAACCAGGGGCATTCAGCCTTCTGGGCTCTAGATGTTTATACAGGAGATCTTAGACCCGTGCTATGAATCTGGATTTTTACTGCAACTGGCCACAAATCTCCATGACCACATATCTCATTATAATTTCCCAGCAATCACTGGAGCTATGTCAAATACAGCTGAGGACCCCACTCAGCATCTCATATCCTTGTGTTAAAATAAGGATGATGATAACCTGCTCCCCAAATCACCTGTTAACAAAAAGAAAATATTTGTCATGCTGTAGCCTAAGTACTTCCCTGCAGTATTTATTGAGAATCATGGGAGGCAGTCAACACTGCCATTCAGTAGTTATGATCTATTAATGGTGTATGGGGTTAAATACCCCAAAGAAGGGCATGAGGGGTTAACGGTAATTAATGTTTCTACAGTGCTTTAATGATGCTGTGTGCTGTTGATTGTCCAGTAACACAGCACAAAGTCTAAGGGCGAGTTTTAAATGTACATAATAATTTTTACTTGGATAAACTAAGAGAAATTGGGTATTACCTTCATATTTGCTTGAAGATATATAGAAGTGGATAGAAATCAACTGCATTTCCATAATGGGACAATGATATCAACTTTTGGCTGCTGTGTTCTCTGGTACCACAGTGAGTGGTTGTGCTGTAGTGCCCACCACTTAAAAAATATGAAATCTGTTTTGCACTGTAATCTCCTTCTCCCAGTCACTATCATCTTTCTCAAAGTAATTCCTTTTATGATCGTGTTTTTCATCCTCTATCTCAGGCCAAAGATTCTTAGAGTGAAATTAGTATATTTCTGTGTAAGAAGATAAAAATCTCCCAACAATTTTCTCCCAGGTTTTAATAAGAAATTTGATGCTGGGATAAATGACCAAAGATAGAAATTTCAGACTTCACTTGTTTAGACAAACTCATTCACACTTAAGAAGTTGTCTTGGAAAACATAAATAAGGATTGCTGTGTTAGAGCTTATAAGGAGCCCTACAGCTTTTGAGCTTGACAGGAAAGATGCTTCTATTACAAGCAGACTTTTGAAAATGTGCTAGAAAAAACCCTACATCCTATATACATATTTTTATTATATAAGTCAAAATAGCATCTCTTTCTCGGGTATACTTACACAGTCAGATAATTTTAAAACTAAACAGTTGAGCAGAGTGTGCTAGTTATAAAACAGTTTTAAGACATCTCTCACACATCAGTGTGTAGGATCAGGCTCTTAATTTATGTGTCTGGCAATAAAGATGTGCAATTCTACCTCTCCTAGAGTAGTGAGAGTTGATTCTTCTGCAGCCTGCTGGAAGATGAACTTACTGCTAAGATTCTGGAAAACTTCAGTCTAATTTTCATTTGTCCTCTAGTTAGTAAAGTACTGAAGTGAGAGCTGAATGATTTTGTTGAACGGGAAGCTGAAAGGTCTGTTTTGTGTCTCTACACTCAAGTTGCTCAGAACCAATGTGTTTTTAGAATGTATAATTATAATTTATACAATTCATATATAATTTATAGCTAGCAATTATTAATATTGATTTTGAAGTATCATTGCCTTTTATCATATGAAAGACTTATTTTAGATGTATTCATCCTGGAAGCCTTTCCTCTTCTGCTTCCTGTGGAGAAGGTCATGGTGTTCCTACAAGGGTAAATTCCTATGATTTGGTGCAGTCCACAGTAAATGTTTACTGCTATTTTTTATTTATATCAGAGGTTTTGTTATGATCCCTCAAGTTAGTTGAGTCACGCAAATTTCTGTTAGGAAAGGTCGTTTCCTAGCAGTAGTTTTTATTTGCTATCACAATTCAGGCTGTACAAGATGATACTGGTTGAGAAGGTCGACCAGCTTTTTAGAGGATACAACCTCATTTTTTCCCCTTCAGTGCAAGAAGCTTCCTCTTTTCTGGGCTGAAAATTAGGGACTTCAGTCATTTGCTTGTGCCTTCTGGATTTCTAACAGAAGGAGCAGTTTCTGGTGGCCACATGCCAGGAGATCCCAGACAGGTTGAATGTGTGATGCTGCAGCACATGTGCAGTGAGTTGCTTAAATTTTAGGAAGGTGCTTGAGCTTTACAGCTTTCTGTGGCCCATGCAGTGGACATCGTGCAGAAAGGACTCATGCAGGCAGCTTTATGAGTGCCGCCAGTTGTATAGTGCTGGGCTGGTGCTGCACTACAGCTGTGATGGATGTGGACAGCTCTATAGCAGAGTTTCATCAGGGGTCCTATCTCAAGCTGTCCCTCACCATAGCTACCCATCTACCCAAAAATTCCACAGCAAATCTCCGTTCTTTTCATTTTCCAGTCTCTCCTGTTTCAGTTTCAAAGAAACCTCAGCTCAGATCGGTTATTTGGAGCTCAGGTGGTCTAAGCATTAGCTTTGCCTAACGAGCAAGTCTTGTGAATGAAAAGCCAGCAGAACTGTTACATACCACACTGATGTCAGCACCACAGGCACTGAGGGTCACCTTGTGAGAGCTCCCCCAGCATTGCTTAGTTTTGAAAAAATCCGTGTATTTGAAATATGTGTGACTGAAAGTGTCCATCTCTGACACCGAGGTCTGCTTCTGAGCACTGGTGCAAACTGGCAGTGATCATGGATCCTGCAGTGCCCCATCTGAGGCAGGTGCTTGGCTTTGTGTGTTGTAGGCAGAGGCACTGGGTTTAGCCAGGGTATTTGCAGTGCTCCAACCTCTTTTCAAGTTTAAGGTCTCCCAGATGGACTAGTGCAGCTTTTGGATGTATTTGTGTGCAAATAAAGCCTTGGATGGAGAGAAGCAGGAGAGAGGCTTGATTGGTCTGCAAGGGTGAGTGGCACAGCAAAGAGCAGCTTTGTCTCCTCAGGAGGAATCATGCTCCTCTCCACAGGGCTGTCCCTTCTCAGGGGGTTCATCTCCTGCACTGCGGCACACAAGGGTGAATTCCTACTCAGCATCTAGGTATTCATTACCCTGGTACCTGCTTAGGCTTAGATTTTGTTTATCTGTTTGTTTTCTTTTCCTCCAGGTAATACACTTTCTTCACCACTTCTCTCCTGGTGAAGGGCAAAAGGGTTTGATCTTTGTAAGATTTGTTAAAATATGTTTGTGTTTATAAGAGGAAAGCTAACATGTATAAAGAAGTAAGTGCTTTTGTAATTTTTTTGTTGTATGATTCAGCATTTAAACATTTTACAGATGCGATTTTTTGCACTCTCTGCATACATTCATAAAAAGAATATATTTATTTTCTGTCTTTCAGGTTTATTTTGGGTTTGTGTTTTCTTCTAATGTTATAAAATGCCGTATGTGCAACATTAAAAAAATTAGTGTAAAAACATTGTCTCGTCTTGTAATCCTTCACTGCCTTTAAAAGGTGAACGTAGAAAAATTACGGGAAAAACTCAAATGCATCTGGGGTGCTTAATGGGAATATTGAGAATGAACAAGGGTAGAAGAGGTAGGATCAGAGTCTTGACTCTTATATACTTTCTCAAAAAGTACATGACATTAAAACCCTTTCAAAGCGAGTGGGGCAGGCTTTGTGTTAGCTCCTGAGTGCTGCTGCAGTGGCATGCAGATACCACAGCGGTGGTGCTGTTTGCTCTCTTCAGGTGGGGTGCAGGGTTACTATAAATCTGCTCCCATGCGAAATCTGGTGAAGACCATGACCGTGAGCAGCCGGACCTACCCCAGGCTGGGGGGCAGACACCCATGGAAAGCTGCACAAAGAAAAGTCTGCTGCTTCAGAGCCCACTAGAAAGAGAACTTCCTTTGCTCCCTCAAGCCTGCCTGTCCCTGCAGCAGAATTAGGCCTCCTGCTCTGTGCTTCTGAAAGACATCATGAAACACTACACCCTGCCATGCAATTTCAGGTTGCATGCCTTCAGATCCACCTTAGTTTTCTCACACACCCACATCCTTCAGTGCCTGCGGGAGACAATCACAGCTGTGTTTGTAAGCATCACATGTTATGGTGATGTTTACTAGTAAATATTTCCAGCTTATCTACAATTACTCAGCACCCAAAGGTAGGGTTTTCCACCTGGGTGACACATCCTTGAAAACCCAGCATGCCATCTGTGAATTAATTGCAGATCATAGAGTGAATTGGGTATCTCTATCTGGAAGGTCTTGATAGTTTTGTTTCTGAGGACACTTTTTCAGGACAAGAGTCAAAGAGAATGTCACCACTGTCACCTACAGCTCAAAGTTTTGGTCATGCCTGTAAATTTAAACCCCCCCCCATCAGTTTGGTTAGAGTCGAGTAAATTCAGCACTGATGTTATTCCACTTAAATACAACCATTTTATTTATTTACTTGTTTTCTGTGGCCAAGGCTCTGATCTTGTTCTGTGAATGTGCAACAAAGCAGCGGCAACGCATCAGTCCGCACAGTAACGCAGGTGAAGTACTGCAGCAGGCAGAAGGTTTCCAGCATGGCCCTTCTCTTTCAGAGCATCTTGCTTTGCAGTGGGAACGTGTCAGTTCTGACAAACTCATGATGGACACCAGCTGCTGGCAGCCCACAGGCCTGGTGCCCTGCCAGCACACCAGCTGCCAGGGATGGGCAAACTGCCCAGCGCTCCACTGGGCAGACGAGCAAACTGCCAGCTCCTCACCTGGCAACTTTGAAGAAAAACCCCAACAAGCATTTTCCAAGCAAAGTTTGATGTTTCTGAATTTCTCTCCGATTTTTGAAATTCCTTATCAGATGAATGTGAGCAATTTTCAGCAGAGCAGGAAGTCCAGAGGCCCTTTGACTCCTGGATTGTCACATCTTCCACGCTCACTTGTTCTTCAGCAGAAATAGGAGCTAACTGCCAGAAACAGGAACTAATTGCCACATTCAGTCTTTCTCTTCATGTGTATGGAGAACTGGCACTTGCCACTACTCCTGCCGACCCAAACATCTTCTGACCAGTCCTAAGAAGGGGAAAAAAATTGATGGCTTCACATTTGATTTCATTCCAGCTTCAATGTGCATTTTTTCTCCCAGTTCCTATAGAATCATAGAATGGTTAGGGTTGGAAAGGACCTTAAGATCACCTAGGTCAGATCCCCTACCCATGGGCAGGGACACCTTCCACTAGACCAGGTTGCTCGAAGCCCTGTCCAGCCTGGCCTTCAACACTGCCAGGGATGGGGCAGCCACAGCTTCCTGTTGTGGAAAGCTGTTCCAGTGCCTCACCACTCTCAGAGTAAATAATTTCTTCCCTATACCTAACCTAAATCTCTGCTGTTTAAGTTTTAACCCATTACCCCTTTTTTTTCTTCAACAGCCTTTTATTTCAGGGTTATTTTTAACCAAATCCCTGGACTTTAAACTCCTCTTTTTTTTGAGATTACAAAAGACATTGTTTACCTTAACCTGTGTGTTTATAACAGCTGTCTGCAAGCCCACATCCCCTTCTGCATGGGGCAAGTGTTGCCTTAAACACTAGCCTCAGCCTGATCCATCCTTCCAGTTGGCAAACACAACCCGTATTACGCTCATAAAACACCTCCTCTGGTCTCCCAGCAAGTGGGTCAACATTTTTGCTCCGGGGTTACCCTGCAGCTGATGCTCTCCACCCTATCATCACTCTGTCATGTTTGTCTGCAGGGCCTGTGACTCCTTCTGGGGATGCTACCAGCCCTGTAGGTGTTGATGGCCTCTGAGAAGGATTGCCCTTGCAAGTATATTTTCCAATGGCTTTGAGCCTGGTGCCTACATGGCAACTCCTTTCTCTTTCAAGCTCTACAGTTCTTCCGATCTGAAAACTTTAGGTTTTGGAAACCAGAAATCACTGAAAATTATATGTATGTCTTGGTTTTCCACAGACCTTTCCAGGGATACCCCAGAATTACAAGACAAAAGCAAAAACATAAAATAAAATAAATCCACCCATGAAATCATACTTTTCAGAGCAAACACTTTCCATCTTACATCATGGGTTACTTCTCACATGGGACCTCTCAGGCTGAGCTTGTCAACTCAGAGCCCGGCTTGTAAATGCCAGAGTGATGTCTCAAGCCACTGCCATGCTGAGCCTCATGGCTGTCCAACAAGCAAACTCAAAGCTGCAAGTTTGGGCTGTGATATTCAACATAAATATAATCCTTTCTTGTCATTCCTTTCCCTTGCCTGAGCTTTAGAGGGGCTATCAAGTGCACATAGTGGTAGGTATACTTTAAAACTCAGCAGGGATGCTGGAATAGCTGCTTGGTGGCAGAGCTTGAAAGCAACAACCCAATGCTCACACCTGCCTGAAGATGTGCCCATGTTCTATCCAGAAAGGGAAAACTGCAGGATCTCTAGCTTCTCAAACAGAGGCTTCAGGAAGTTTCTGCTAAAGGGTTAGTATGATGCCTCCATGCAAGAGACTGCCTGGTCTTTTTCCTTAGTACTACCATGAAAAATCCTTTCCCAGTGCTGACATGGATTAGCACTATCCATCAGCAGGCACAGTTGATAAGTTTGCAGTCTTGCCTTCTTGAGATCCATGCCAGTGCCAAAACACCAGACTTTGAGAAAGCCGGGAGGACTGGCCAATTAGTGAGTAATTGACTTTTCCTGGATCTTGGCTAACGAACTTAAGTCCAGGTGAGTGCATATGCTTGTGGCAGTCTGTGTTGCTGCATGTTGTGAAAGGCAAGAGACTCTTGCTGTCTCCAGCAGCTGTTCTTCATCCTGGATGTCAACACTATCAGGGAAGCTGCCTTGGGAGCTGTTGGATTTCCTCATGTGAGTGTGCCTGAACATTCCACTGCTTGCTTAGTTGGGTCTGAAATGGAGTCTGTGGGTCAGGGCCTAGGAACAGGACTTTGGAGGGTGTACTGAAGGTGCTTTGGAGCAGTGCTTTGGATACTAGAGGAGATAGCTCAGGACTGTGAGACTAGCTCAGCCAACTGGCTATTGAGAAAGCTTTGAGGGATTTTTTAAACTGTATTTATTCCCATTTGTAGGTTTTTTTCCCTTGGTCTCCCTAGGAGCTCCAGATAGTGTGGACAGTGAGATATGCAATAGGAAAGACCAAGGGAAGACTTGCATTTGATATCTGCTTCTTTGGGGGGCTGAGGCTTGACTAAACTCTCTCACTCTGCTCTCAGCAGTGACTGGAGAGGGGAATGCATCTGTTTGCCTGTATACTGTATTCAGTCTTGCTGAACTAATACTCTGCATGTTTAGCTGTTGCTTGGAGGAAATGTTGTTCCTGATGGTTTTTAGCTGGGGAAGCCTTGCAGTGCATCTGCTACCAATGTGAGCTTAAGTATGCAGTGTTACAGTGCCATTGTAAAAACATAATTGGAATGGAATGTAAGTTTCTAGCTTTGCTCAGGCTATAAATGCAAACAACTAAAATGTGACAGGCCCTGAGGCTTCCATCCTGTGTCACCCACAAGTTTTGGTATAACCAAGCAGGCAGCAGTCTATGGCTTCTCTGCGGCAATAGTTTCACAGCGGTAAGAGGGATGCTCTGGGCAGGAGCCAGAGTTCCTCACGGCTGGGTGAGTGCAGCAGCAGCTGGGTTTTACACCCATCTCCCCAGCTTTTGAGCTGCATTGTCTTTGCATTGCCCTGCATCTCCCTGGTATGTGCTTTAGGGAGCTTGGCTGCAGGAAGACTCTGGCAGGCAGGGTGGAGGTTCAGAGTGTCTGTAGGAAAACTTTATCCTTCTCTCTCCTTGCAACTGTATAATGTTTCCTATAGTAATATAGGGGATTTCTCTAAGCTGAGGTTTTGGACTGCATCACATGTAGCTTTTGGAGGAAAAATTAGTTAGTTTCAGGTGTTCTGATATGTTTCCCTGGTGAAATGTCCATCTTACTAATACTGTTTATGAAGGAGAGTGACATCCCACAAATCATCTCTTTTTTAACAGAAGTGGGTCAGTAGCTTCACTGATGTTAAGTCCCTAACACAGACTTCCATGCATGTGTGGGTTTTTTCTGCCTGTTGTCTCCAGACAAGTGGTACAGCTGTTGGTGCTGGTGTTACTGAAGTTTGCCTGTTCTGTGGCTGGACTGCCTGTGTGTTGGTGTACAGCAGCAGCAGCAGTGCTGAGCTGGCCCCAGTGGGACAGATGAGGGGCTAGGATCTTCAGTTCACGGGTGTCTAACTGGCATCCAAGCTCTAGTGACCTCAAATCTAACTCTTATCTAAGCTTTTCTCCTATTGTTTCCCCTTCCCTGTTTTTTTCTGCTGTTGTTGTTAGGTGGCTGGTTTTTGTTTTCCCTTGTGTTCCCTCATCATCTTAAAACCTAATCTCTGCTTGGGCAAGCAG